AAAATTCAAGTTTTGAAATAAAGTTTGTTTATTCACTCCACTTCTTTATTATTATATCTTATGAGTGAAATTGTAAGTGTTGGGATTGTTTATTATGATTGGAGTATATTTGGTTGGTGTTAGAGTTGGTTATGTAGGAGATGTTGATCATTATTTATTTTGATCATGGGTTTTTGATGTGTCTATTTTATATAGTATTTTACCCTCGTCCCTTGGTCGTAATTAGTAGTGTTTTTGGCTCTTTAGAGCCACTTTTATTACTAATTGGTGTTTTCCAGTGTTTTCGTAGATTTGGTTGACTTTTGCAGGGATTTATGCTTTTGGAGTATTTTCCCGAGATATTTTGGAGCAATCACGAACATTGGAGAAGCACGACTAGATTCTATAGCCCAGGGCCGGTTAGAGCCATCGAACCGGTGATTAAGGGCTCCGTATAGGTGATACCGGGGCATTTGGACCGAGTATTCAAGACCGGAAGAGGAAACCCAGATTGGCCCGAAGAATTGGAGCCCAATCGTAGTCCAAATAGTGGCCCAAGAGAGCCGCCCCGGCAACGGCGCCAAAATTTGATAGGCCGTCGTCGAGCCTACCAAAGATAATGATTCCTATCTTGGTCTCACGAACAATAGTAAGGGTAAGAAAGGGTCGAACCCAAGAGAGGCGTTGAATCAACCACCGAGTACTACCGTTTAAATAAGCTAAATGAATTCTAAATTGGGTTGGTTTTGAGTAACTTCTTCTAATTCAACTCAACTAAAGCTAAGAGGAGATTAACAATATTAAGAGGAATCTAGGGCTCGGGTTATACCACTTAATTTCATCACAAATCACAATTAGCCTGCAACAATCAAGGTAAATTAATGGGACAAATTAGGGGAAGTCATCTAAAGCACCCAACTACTCTCTCAAGCTAGAGGGATTACTTGAATCGTGAATACAACCTACTCTCGTGGTTACATAGCATAAAACAAGTGTTAAAGCATAATCACGATGACATAAACATTCCCTTGACCGGTAATCCCTATTCTCATGGCATTTCGGGTCAATTAAGCATAAGGGAGCTAACTCAAGTTCATCTCTCGATCCTTCGTTGAGAAAGCTTGGATAAATAGTTCTAGAATGGTCATATACAAGAACTAAGCAATTAAACCACTTAAGCTCAACTAATCATCATCCCACAACAACCAAATTAGCACATGCAACAAGTAATTAGTGACTACATTGAGGGTTTTACCCAAACCCTAGAATTTAGACTACTCACAATCCATGGAGGTTAAAGCAATTAGAGGTTTCAAGCAATTCATGAACAAGTTCAAACTAAGGATTAAGCTAATTAACAATCTAAGCATGTAAGAATTAAGCAAGTAATCAACAACAAAGTAAAGAGAAGTAGAAAAGATGAGTAAGAAATGGTTACTATGAAGCTTCAAAGTGAGCAACAATGGTGGATTTTGTCTTCTACAATGATTGAATTTGAATGCTTCCAAGCTAAAAATTAAGAACTAACTAATGATTTGAGAATTTAATGTTCTAAGACTACAAACTAAGAGGAAAGCTCTAAAAAAACTGCATCCCCGTACAAATGAGCTCTAAAGGGGTATTTATATGACCCCCAAATAAAAAGGACGGAGAAAACAAGGAAGGAGTTCGACTGCAGGTCTGCACGGACGTGCCAGATTTGGCACGGACGTGCAAGGCTAAGCACGGCCGTGCCAAGTTTGGCACGGACGTGCAGGAGGGCCAAAATGGAGGCAGAAGCTTCTGCCAAGGTCTGCACGGACGTGCAGCTTTTGGCACGGACGTGCAGCTTTTGGCACGGACGTGCAGACTTGCACGGACGTGCTATCATCTTGCACGTCCGTGCAAGATGCCCTGCCTAGACTGCTTAACTTTGGGAAGCTGTAACTTCTACGTTTCTTGTCGGAAATGGACTTGTGACCAGTCGTTGGAAAGCTCTTGAGACGAACTTTAATCTTCAATTTGAATCGCTTCAAAAGGTTGATAAGTCAAAAGTTGTGGTTGGTTGAAGTTGACGCTTACGCAAACGACCTTTCAAGGTTCTCCAAAAGCTTTTCATTTCCCTTTAAGGCATTCCTCCTTCTTCCTCCATGGCTCTATCAACCAAGCTTGCCCTTATCCTTGCTCACTCATGCTTGATCATGTCCATAGTGCTAAAAATAGCTACATTACATCAAAAACACAAACAACCGGTGAAGCATGGATGGTACAAAATTTGCATAAAAATAGGATAAAAAATGAACTTTGATGTCGATTAATAACGAAAACAAGGTTCAAAAGTACCCTAAAATCATGCCAAATAACAAGTTATCAAATCCCCCCAAGCTAAGCTTTTTCTCGTCCTCGAGCAAAACAAACATGTCGAATCAAAGGAGGAAAACGACTTGCTAACATCAATCCAAGGAAAGGCAACAAGGAGGAAGCATAAATACACAAATCCGCATGGTGACAGCCATCATCACTTTTAGCACAAGTGAGAAGCAATTTAAACCTCTAAGTCGCCTTAGAGGACGAGTTTTTATCTCGTGAGGGTTTCCATTGAGCTTAACCCACAACTCACACAAACCACAACAAAACTATCAAACTACACAAGTTCCGATGTTATTATCACCCAAGTCAACTCATCGAGATATAAATCGCAAGCAAGACAAATGAGCGACTTTCAAGAATTACCAATCATACAAATGTGCACATGAGTTGGGGGTAAAGAGGAGGACTAAGCATGATTGCACTAGGATACTTCTTTAGACCTTTTACTAGTTCATTAGAGCACACCTAGATATTCCAAAGTTTCAACAAGCCCTTTTTCGGTTATAAAATCTCAAAATGCTAGTCCACTTACCAAAATGCACACCCAAGGCCTCTTAACTACACTCTAACTCGGGAATTTCATAAGAAACAATGATGTAAACAAGGTGTGGGAGGCATCCACTAGTGGACCTCTAAAGAAGAAAATTTTGATAATTTTCGAGAGTTTCCCTTTTTATTCATTGTTCTATGCTCTTCTTTTCTTCTTTTTTTTTTCAACTTTCAATGCTCTCGCCTCTTTTAACTGTGAGCGGCTCTTTCTTTTATTAAGAACATGTGACTTATTATGCCACTTATTACACATGATAAAAATATAACCAATTCCCTAATAGAGTTTCATTTCGGGGAGGAAATGAGGCACATTAAGGGCACAAGGGACCGCAATTCAATTCAAACGTATCCTACTTGAGCGAATAAGACAATATCCTATACTAGGTGTGCAATTGAGCATTCATTGGCTTTCATTTCATATACACTAATGCAATCAAGATTAATAGACCTCTAAATGACCCCATCTCTTGCATACACCCTTCTAAGAGAACTAGTACTCATCGCTCAAGAGTCAAGCAAGAAAAACATATAAGCATTGTCATTTGAGTCTCAACCTTGGGCAAATTTTATTTTATTTTTTCATTTTTCAATTTTTTCATCATTTTTTTTTGAAGATAAAGCGAAAATATTCAAATTACTAACTAGAGAGGGAACACTAATATTCACATGACAAGAGGTTTGGATTTCAAGGAAGCTAAATTGGATTAAGGGCCTTGGATATTAGGGAAATGAAACAACCAAAACAAACGCAACCAAACAAACCAACATGTCAAGAAGGCATGCAAATGACTCCCCCCAAGTTATCATAAACATTGTCCTCAATGTTAAGCAATAAAAGCTCATAAAAAAAAGAGAAAGAAGACTAACTCAAGGATCGAGTCTTTTTCGACGCTTGAACCTCCTTGGTACCTTTGTTTCTGTTGGTTGTTGTTGGAAGACATGCACTTTGTGCTGTTTTTTTTTTTCTTCTTTTGTTTTTTTCTTTTTTTTTTTCTTTTTTTCTTAAGTTAATCCACTACAAAAATATTCGGGTTGCCTTCCGACAGCGCTTCTTTAACGTCACTAGCTTGACGACATTGCGCTATCCAAAATTAGGGAGGGTCAAGGCACACCTTTTTGACCCATCTCATTGTTCCCACACACTTGCCATTTTCCTTAGGCAAAATAATCACATTGCTATCATCACTAGAAATGCAACCAAACAACTTGTCCATCAACTTGATCTTGTTTTTCTTTTTCTTCTTGGCCCTCTCTTGCTTTTTCACCTCCGGAGCATGAGTCAATTCATCTTGTGACTCCTCCATGTCTTCTTTCAAAATATTAACCAAAACATCAACCCGATGAACTTGTTTAACCATAGGGTCATTCAATGTTTCCGGAAACGATAAAGAGATTCTTTCATCCCCAACATGTAAGGTAAGGCGCCCTTGTTTCATATCAATATTAACACCCGCGGATTTCAAAAAGGGCCTACCTAATATGAGAGGAATTTTGAAATCCTCATCTATCTCCATGATTACAAAATCACAAGGCACAAGAACCTTCCCCACTTGAATTGGGATGTCCTTCAAGACTCCCAATGGGACTTTAACCGAGCGGTCGGCTAGTTGGATTGACATTTTGGTGGGGCTAATCTCCCCAAGATTTAATCTTTTTGCCATAGAGAGAGGCATAAGGCTAACACTAGCCCCAAGATCACACAAAGAATTTGTTGATTCAAGATCTCCAACCTTAACCGGTATAGAAAAACTACCGGGGTCACCAAACTTCTCGGGAAGCTCATTTTGAGGAATAGCACTTATCTCCGTTGGAAGAGAGATAGAATCACTCTCCTCAAGCCTACTCTTGTTAGAAAGAATATTTTTCAAAAACTTTGCATATTTAGGCATTTGAGACAAAGCATGGAGAAGTGGAATGTTTGATTGAAGTCCTTCCATTTCATCAAGGAACTTAGAAAGTTTCTCATTTAGCTTCTTCTCTATCATTCTATGAGGGAATGGAATATGAGGCTCATATGCTCTTAATGGAGCTTGACTCTTCACTTCTCCCTCATCTCTCTTTGAGGCACCCTCATCACTCATTTTTGACCTTCCTCTCGCCTCCTCACTCACTTAATTTTCAAACTAATTTTCATCTACCCAACTATCTCCCTCATCTCCCTTTTTGGCAACATTTTCTCTCATAATTGGAGTTTCATACCCCCCTTCCATAATCAAGGTGATTGATTTCGCTTGCTCTTTTGGATTCATTACCGTTGTGCTTGGAAATTGACCACCGGGGTTAGAGGTGCACCCAACTTGTTGTGCAATTTGAGATAATTGATTTTCAATCATCTTGTTGTGTGCTTGGAGTTGTTGAATGGAGCTACTAACTTCCCCATTGATCTTGATTTGTTTGGTCATGAAGGTTTCCAAAAAGGATTCAATGTTGGATTTTGGAGGAGGAGGGGCTTGATTGTATTGGGGTCTTTGTTGGACATTGTCTCTTTGATTGGGGTGGCGATAGGGAGCTTGTTGTTGATGAGGGGGTTGATTGTAAGGAGGAGCTTGGTTGTAATTGATTTGAGGAGGGGGAGCTTGATTGGGTTGTTTCCACCCAAAATTTGGATGTTGTTTCCAACCTTGGTTAAAAGTTTGGGAGTAAGGATCATTCCTACCAAGTGAAGCCACATGCTCCGTTGTAGTGTTGCAATAGGATGCCAAGTGGTCATTTCCTCCACAAGTCTCACAAGACATGACTTGAGGGGAGGTGTTACCGGGCACATTGTTCACTTGATCTAGCTTTCGAGCTAACATATCAACCTTTGAAGCAATAAGATCTATTGCTTCAAGATCATTCTTACCGCCCTTCTTGGGTTGACCTTGCCTTTTATCACCTCCATAAGCATAATGCTTAGCCACTTCCTCAATCATTTTGTAGGCCTCGTCAACCGATAGCTTTTTAAGGCTACCTCCGGCTCCCGAATCAAGGTTGGCCCTTGAGGTAGGAGTAAGACCATCATAGAAGCTTTGCACTATGATCCATGAGGTGAAACCGTGGTGAGGGCATGCTCTAGTATAATCTTTGAACCGCTCCCATGCTTCACTCAAAGTTTCATCAACCTCTTGGTTGAAGTTTGTGATCTTCCGTCTTAATTCAGCGGTTTTCTCGGGAGGGCAATACTTCCCAAGAAAAGCTATAGTCACCTCATCCCAAGTACTCAACGATCCCTCTTCAACCGTTCTCAACCAATGCTTTGCTTTGTCTCGAAGGGAGAATTGAAACATGTGCATCCGAATAAACTCTACCGAAATGTTGTTTTGCTTGATAGTTGTACACAATTCAAGAAAGTTGTCCAAATGAGCAAAAGGACACTCATAAGGACTACCCCCAAATTGATCGCTTTGAATCATGCGGATGAGTTGAGGTGAAAGCTCAAAGTTGTTTGTATTCGTGGTGGGAAGACGTATGCCACTCCGAAGTTGGAATGCGTTGAAGTGGTCATAGTCTCTTAACAATGGTTGAGGAGGATTCTCTCCCATGTTATCTTCTTCGTTAGCTCCAAAAACCTCTTCCGAATCGGAATCCGAATATACAATGGAAAACTCGGGTGTGCCTTGCAAGAGTCTCCTCACGTTTCTCAAAGTCCTATTTAGCTCTGGATCAACGGGAATAAGCGGTGATTGCTTACTCTTTCGTGTCATGCAAAGTCAAACAAAGCTAAGAAAAACGTAAGCAATGACTATCGCAAGTTAAACACACATAAACAAAAATTAAGGTAAGAAAACTACTATACATATACACACATCTAGTCTCATTCAACAATAATACATTCAATGTGACTTTGCCTCCCCGGCAACGGCGCCAAAATTTGATAGGCCGTCGTCGAGCCTACCAAAGATAATGATTCCTATCTTGGTCTCACGAACAATAGTAAGGGTAAGAAAGGGTCGAACCCAAGAGAGGCGTTGAATCAACCACCGAGTACTACCGTTTAAATAAGCTAAATGAATTCTAAATTGGGTTGGTTTTGAGTAACTTCTAATTCAACTCAACTAAAGCTAAGAGGAGATTAACAATATTAAGAGGAATCTAGGGCTCGGGTTATACCACTTAATTTCATCACAAATCACAATTAGCCTGCAACAATCAAGGTAAATTAATGGGACAAATTAGGGGAAGTCATCTAAAGCACCCAACTACTCTCTCAAGCTAGAGGGATTACTTGAATCGTGAATACAACCTACTCTCGTGGTTACATAGCATAAAACAAGTGTTAAAGCATAATCACGATGACATAAACATTCCCTTGACCGGTAATCCCTATTCTCATGGCATTTCGGGTCAATTAAGCATAAGGGAGCTAACTCAAGTTCATCTCTCGATCCTTCGTTGAGAAAGCTTGGATAAATAGTTCTAGAATGGTCATATACAAGAACTAAGCAATTAAACCACTTAAGCTCAACTAATCATCATCCCACAACAACCAAATTAGCACATGCAACAAGTAATTAGTGACTACATTGAGGGTTTTACCCAAACCCTAGAATTTAGACTACTCACAATCCATGGAGGTTAAAGCAATTAGAGGTTTCAAGCAATTCATGAACAAGTTCAAACTAAGGATTAAGCTAATTAACAATCTAAGCATGTAAGAATTAAGCAAGTAATCAACAACAAAGTAAAGAGAAGTAGAAAAGATGAGTAAGAAATGGTTACTATGAAGCTTCAAAGTGAGCAACAATGGTGGATTTTGTCTTCTACAATGATTGAATTTGAATGCTTCCAAGCTAAAAATTAAGAACTAACTAATGATTTGAGAATTTAATGTTCTAAGACTACAAACTAAGAGGAAAGCTCTAAAAAAACTGCATCCCCGTACAAATGAGCTCTAAAGGGGTATTTATATGACCCCCAAATAAAAAGGACGGAGAAAACAAGGAAGGAGTTCGACTGCAGGTCTGCACGGACGTGCCAGATTTGGCACGGACGTGCAAGGCTAAGCACGGCCGTGCCAAGTTTGGCACGGACGTGCAGGAGGGCCAAAATGGAGGCAGAAGCTTCTGCCAAGGTCTGCACGGACGTGCAGCTTTTGGCACGGACGTGCAGCTTTTGGCACGGACGTGCTATCATCTTGCACGTCCGTGCAAGATGCCCTGCCTAGACTGCTTAACTTTGGGAAGCTGTAACTTCTACGTTTCTTGTCGGAAATGGACTTGTGACCAGTCGTTGGAAAGCTCTTGAGATAAACTTTAATCTCCAATTTGAATCGCTTCAAAAGGTTGATAAGATCAAAAGTTATGGTTGGTTGAAGTTGACGCTTACGCAAACGACCTTTCAAGGTTCTCCAAAAGCTTTTCATTTCCCTTTAAGGCATTCCTCCTTCTTCCTCCATGGCTCTATCAACCAAGCTTGCCCTTATCCTTGCTCACTCATGCTTGATCATGTCCATAGTGCTAAAAATAGCTACATTACATCAAAAACACAAACAACCGGTGAAGCATGGATGGTACAAATTTTGCATAAAAATAGGATAAAAAATGAACTTTGATGTCGATTAATAACGAAAAAAAGGTTCAAAAGTACCCTAAAATCATTCCAAATAACAAGTTATCACCGGCCGGGCGCGAGATTATTATTGGAGAAGTAAAAAGGCGCGCCCGATCGGGCGCTTGTATTGATTAGGAGACGATTAACGTCGTTTTAGTTTGTTTTAACTTAGGATTTGTACGGAGTATAAATACTCCTCGGTAATACATTTTTAGGACTCTTCTTCCAATCTCTCTTTCTCTCTCTTTCCTTTTACTCTTTCTTTAATCTCTTAATTGTTCTCTTAGATTTTCTTTCTCTTAAACCTTTGTTCTTAATCTACTCTTAATTCCAGATTTATTTTGGTAACGATTCCTCTTCTCTTAATCTTAGTTGTTTATTTCATTCCTTTAATTATGTCTTATTTTATTGCTTTGATTAGTTTAGTTTTTACCATGTGTGAGTAGTTTTATTTCTAGGGTTTATGGGGATCCATAAATAATATGAAGGGGTAATTTGTTGTTGTTAATTATCAATGCTAGATTAATTTCCTATCGATTGATTTAATGCTCTGTGACTAGATTAGGCCTATCTTTTATGCATGAGTTTGACAATATTGATTCGAGATTCGAGAGATGAGAATTGATGTTTAGGTCTAGTTTCAATAGGCAGATTAATTTATAAATGGTTAAGTCAAGAATCGAGAGATGAGATTTAATACCACTAGATTAATTCTGTGATTGTAATACGTAGCGAAAGCCCTTTACAATCTGGTTAATTGATGCATTGATGATTGACTATCATTGGTTCTTGGTATTGCATGATAATTTCTTATTGAATTGTTTTAACGCTTTACAATTACGGCTTGTAAAAGTATAGCAATATTGAATTGATGAATCGAGCAGATGTTAATTTGATATTAAAGGCTATTTTCAATAAGAACTTAGATTTAGTAAATTGCGAGAGCCTGTTAGATCTATGTTGATTAATAAATTGCGAGAGCCTGTTAATCATGTTATTTATGCAATGTCAATGATTGATTACTATGTTTTACCCTGGAGTATTATTTATTGGTGAACCTATGCCCTATATCCTTTTATATATTGTTTTCTCCCTATTCTCAATCTTCGTAGTTTAGTTTCTTATTCAAATATAAATATTGGTTACTTCATAATCTAGATTATTTTAGTTAATTAGGAATAGAAAGACTTGTTTCCCTGTGGAGATCGACCTTACTTCCCTATATGAATGTGAAAGTGTTGTTTATCAATGCAAGTTATGATATGACATATTTCGAGTCGACTAGTAGGTTGAGCGTTCATTGTTTTATACACACGAGAGTGTGAGTTGGGAGGGCATTGTTCACATAAAGGGGTTGGTTGGAGAGCGATCGAGTACATCTTTTACTCGCCACATAAATGAGAGTTGAGTGTGTGAGCACTAGTCTTGAATTCTATATGCTCTTGTGGTTTGCTCTATTTGACAATTGTTAGGGAAGAAAGGTAATTGGATGGAATTGATTGGTTGATTTTGAAGCATGTTTATTTGATTTACCCTGAATTGTCTGTGCTTGATTTTTACTTTTTGGGGTGAAGCATATTTATTTATTCATTGATGAGATCTTTGCTTAGGGACAAGCAAAGGTTTGGCTTGGGGGAGTTTGATGTATCTACTTTATATAGTATTTTACCCCCGTCCCTTGGTCATAATTAGTAGTGTTTTTGGCTCTTTAGAGCCACTTTTATTACTAATTGGTGTTTTCTAGTGTTTTCGTAAATTTGGTTGACTTTTGTAGGGATTTGCACTTTTGGAGAATTTTCCCGAGATATTATGGAGCAATTACGAGCACTGGAGAAACACGACCAGTTTTTATAGCCCAGGGTCGGTTAGAGCCATCGAACCGGTGATTAAGGGCTCGGTATATCTGATACCGGGGCATTTCGACTGAGTATTCAAGACCTGAAGAGGAAACCCAAATTGGCCCGAAGAATTGGAGCCCAATTGTAGTCCAATTAGTGGCCCAAAAGAGTCGCCCAGCCAAAAAGGTTGGCGCCCGGAGGCGCGTCCGGCCGGGCGAGGGAAGCAAAGGTCGGCGCCCGAAGACGGGCCCGGCCGGGCGCGAGAAGCGTACCTGATGAGCAAAAAGGCGCGCTCGATCGGGCGCGTGTTATTATTAGGAGTTAATTTTTGACGTTTAAGTTTGTTTTAGTTTAGGATTCTTACGGAGTATAAATACTTCTCCGTAAAACGAGTTTAGAAACTTTTTTTTACTCTCTTCTTTACTCTCTTAATTATTTTCTTAGATTTTCTCTCTCTACTTAGCTTTTAGATTAGTTTTCTCTCTCTTATACTTTGTTCTTAATCTATTCTTAATTCCAGATTTGTTTGGTAACAATTTCTTTTCTCCTAATATTAGTTATTTATTTTATTCTTTTGATCATGTCTTGTTTTATTGCTTTGATTAATTTAGTTTTTATTATGTGTGAGTAGTTCTATTTCTATGGTTTATGGGGATCCATAAATAATATGAAGGGGTAATTTATTGTTGTTAATTGTCAATGCTAGATTAATTTCCTATTAATTGAATTAATGCTCTGTGACTAGATTTGCGCAAATCTTTTATGCATGAGTTTAACAATATTGATTCGAGATTCGACAGATGAGAATTAATGTTTAGGTCTAGTTTCAATAGGCAGGTTAATTTATAAATGGTTAAGTCGAGATTCGAAAGATAAGATTTAATACCGGTAAATTAATTGTGTGATTGTAATACGTAGCGAAAGCCCGTTATGATCTGATTAATGTATGCATTGATGAATGATTATTATATTCTACCCTGGAATATTATTTATTGGTGAACTTATGCCCTAGGTCCTTTTATTCATTGTTTTCTCCCTACTCTTAATCTTCGTAGTTTAGTTTCATATTCAAATTTATATATTGGTTACTTCATAATTTAGATTATATTAGTTAATTAGGAATAGAAAGACTCGTTTCTCTGTGGATTCGACCCTACTTCCCTATCTACATTAGTTAGAGGATTTAGGAATTACTTTTGATTTGGGGATATGACTTTACACTGTCAGTGGTCGTGGAGAGTGAAGGAGCAGGGGAGGGTGGGTGGTGGTCGTGGCGCCGACACCGGTCTGGACGATTATCAGTGCTCTAGGGGAAGATGTTGGCTGGCCGTGGGTGGGTAGGTACGGGTTGTCGCTGGCTTGTTTTGGTTTTCTTTTTTTTTAATCTTTAAATTTATTTTTTTTATTTTTTTTTAATTTTAACCTATCATGATGTCACACGTGTGCAACTAATCACAAGTCAACAAAATTTAACTTTTCAACCGGTTCCAAGTCATTTGGGTGCAATAGAAATCAATCCCATACAAGATGGGAGTGATAGTAAATGATCGAAAGTAGGGATTATTATTGGCGGACGAGGCAAAGTTGCTTGGGATTAACGTGGACAATTTTTCCTACTTTTAAATGTAAATATTTTTAGTTACATGTGAAATTGGAAAAATTGTTGGGAATAATCCCACCTTTGGGGCATCCGCGAAAAATAATCCCACCTTTGTACCCAATCCATTCATAATGGTCCCAATTGGTCATGTAACCTGTTATAACAAGTTACTAGATACGTGTCGGCCAGTGATTGGTCAAAAAAATAATTAAAAAGTTTTAATTTTTGTAAGAAAAAAATAAAAATAAAAATTAATTTATTAACTAAAAACCCCAACCACCCTCCCCGCCACCTGTTCCGGTTGTCCTTGCTGCCGAACTCCCCTGTTGTAACACCCTAGAAATCTCTTTCTTTTAAAATACGTGTTTTGCCCTGTTTAAAACTTTAAATAGGAAAATCTAAGATATTACCGCCACCGTGAAAACGGGTAAAGCAACTATCAAAGACACATAGCGGAAGACTCTTCTTTAAAATATTTTAAAAAGACTCAACTAAAAAAGTCATTCACGAAAGTAAAGTCAAACCAAAGTAAAACAAAGTCGAACCTACAACTTGGAACCATTGTAGGCCCTTAACAAACAATCCAATTTAAAAACTTTATGCTAGTCTCGCAATAGAAATATCATAATATAAATAAAAGCAATAACACACAATAACTTATGGAAACTAGCATGATTCGCTCTTCACTCATGTCCATCATGAATATGCTTCATCACCTGAAAAGCTTCTTTCTACTTGTTTCCACTACTAACGCGGGTTAAGACTAGGTCGTTGAAACTAATCCTCGGTCAAAACTAAATTTGTAAACACTTAACCAACCCAAATACTAGTATAGAGGCAAGTCAAGGGTCGAACCCAAGAGAATGGAGGGAAGTTAACTATTGTTAAAGTTAAGATATCTCGAAACGTAAGAAGGAATGTAGGTTGTCTAAATCAACTAAACAAACAAGCAAACACAAAGTAAATCAATATATCAAACATTAGGGAATTAGGATCCACATATACTTGCAATGAGTACACACTAATTGGGCTGGAGATTGATTAATTCGAGTATTGCAAGGGAAGATAGACAATGCAATCAAAAGAGCTCGACAAGCTATCTCCTAGAGGTCAAACTAGCGCCAACTACATAAGACTCTACTAGGAACGTCACAGGCCAAACTTAAGCGATAAATGTGAGCTACAAATCAATGGTCTGTATCAATGTAGACACACAATGCAATCTAGCATGAAGAACAAGGTTGATCACTCCTTCCAATCCATACACATGCACAAAATCAATCAACCAATTAAATCACAATGCTAAATCAATCAAAAACCTCCCAATTAGCTAATAATCCATCACTAATACATGCTTCACCACATCCCTAGCAAGCAAACTACTCACAATCCATTAAAGAAATAAAAAACAAAGTTATGCAATTCATCAAATTCATCAACATCATTCCAATTAAATTAATTCAATCAAACAATCAATAACCTTGGACAATCAACAAAACAATTGAAATCATATTGAATTAAAGTAAAGGAGATTGTTACAAACTTGATTAAATCAAAGGAAACGTACTTGAATTCAAACCAATTGCAACTTTCATCAATCACCAATCACCAATCACCAATCATCAATCTTTAATGTTTCTCTTGCTACAAAATCTAAAATCTAGAAATTATCTCTTTGAGAAAATCAAACCTAATTCTAATTCTAAGCTCTCTAATTCCTCCTTCTCTCTCAAAAAATTCATTCTTACTCTCAAAATAGAAGAAAAGTCTATATATAGTAAAAGTAACAAAGAGAAATTAGTTAGATCGTCCAAAATAGACCTATACAGGCGCGGTCCTCTTCAAGAGAATGCGCGGTCACACAAAACTGAGTACGGAACAGGGAGAGCAGGTGGCGCGCTCGCGCCTGGGAACAGGGCAGCCCTCTTCACCATCACTTTGATGTTCCTCGTGCGCTCCACTCGATGCTCTTGATAAACACGGGACATGGCAGACCCAAAATCACCTCGATGGTGGGTTCAACACGAGAATTCGTGCCCCCACGGCTTGAATGCATGGCCTAAGGTCAAATGGAACTTGTACTTCTCCATGCTTGAGCTTCAAATGGAGAACATTAGGTATCCTAATCAATGCCAAACTTGGGAAGGGGTCTTGGGAATCTTTGGATAACGAACTTAACTTGAAAGATTAAAGAAAACAAACAAATAAAAGGGAAAAAGACAAAAAAACCAAGAAATGCATGAAAATGGAAAAACAACTAAGTAAAGTGTAAACTAAAGAAATCTTCAACTCTTTAAAAAGTCCCCAAGCACCCTACTGTAGCACCAAACTTACTCCTAAATTTACTGTTCCTTAGGAATAGGGAAATACCGCCTTTTCCCTTTGCCCCCCTTCCTGGAGCACCAAAATTCCAGCGGTAGGATTGTCATTTTGATTTCCTTCGTTGCTTTGTCCCCTTTCTCTTTCCCAGGATCGTGCTTCCATCTTTCTCTTTCTCTCTCTAAAATCAAACTTTCAAGCTTACTTTCTCTCTCATTTTCTTCTGGAATCATCATCTCCAAATTTCTTCAATTCACTTGTTATTGATCACCGTTGCCATCCCCTTTCCCTCTTTCCATGGATTGCCCTAGGATTTTTGAACGGTGGGTGAAGGGCGGTGGTGGTAGCGGTTGTTTCAGATTTCCAGCTGTTGTTTCATATTTCTAACGGTGGTGGTAGCGGTGGTTTCATGTCCGATTACTTTTGTAGAGCTTCAAAAGCTAACCCAGATGCTTCAAGAGGTTTGTGAGCTAATTTTTACTGAAACTCTTAAAATCGCTGTTTGTTTTGGAACTGGTTAATTTGTTCGTGTTTTCGTATTTAATTGCTACTTTTGTGCTAATTTTTGCTGTACTATGTTTGATTTTCAATTTTTGTTAGTTTTAGGGTTTAAGATTCCAATATATGTCCTGGATTATATTTTGAGGGCAGATTAATCTTGGGCTTTTAAGTTCAGTTTTGGCTCATGTGTTTATGAATTTTGATTTCATGTTTGTGGGTTGGCAGAATCACCAGTAGAATTCTTTGCAGAGAAGAAGAATATTGTTGGAGTTGACAATGTAAGTCCCAAGCTCACTTTTTCAAGCACATACAATAGTGATTTTATCCCCAATTGGAAGATCTGGGTTTTTTAAGCACATACAATTCTTTTTTTCATCTTTTTTTTATTGCGTTTGATTAGCCTTCTTTAATTCTTCGATTATATAATATATGTTTTTTATTGTTCAATTTATTTGATTATTTCTACTGAAATTAACAATTATTTTCAGTTGGGTGTTAATGATTCTGCAAATTATCACCTGGGTATAATCTGATAAGGCTCAATTATCATGGAGATCGGTTTTAATGGCAGACTTGCGGGATTTGAAATTCATGGGTTTTACACCATGGAAGGTACTGTAAGTGTAGACACCCATTTGTGTCTCCCCAAAACCAAACCCAGTGATGAGTACCTTTCGCGTCGAATCATCATCGAATGAAGTGAAAGTGTGGAAAGTTTAGTGTTGCGGATAGTTTTAATCTCATTTCTCTCCTCTCTGTTTTTGAAAACTTATTTTAATAAAACAGCCAATCCAGTTTGGTTGGTCCATGATATGGGTCCAATAATAGTGTAGTTGTATGGGGCTTAACAAGAGCTTTCCAACGATATATTATAAGCCCAATTCCGATGAATATTGAGGAAGTTATGGCCGATTTACTAAACTGGGTCTGGTTTGAGCCTTATATGCGGCCCAATGATCTAAGGGAGGGCCTTAATAAGATTTATCATTTCTAATGCAATTAGGAATGGTTTTATTCTTCTAGATTCTTCTAGAAGGTTCTTTTCATTCCTAATTCAATTAGCATTGATAAATTGACTTTTGTTGACTTTTCAGAGTTTTAATTAAAATCAAAGAGCATTTTTGAGGGAAATATGATTTTATCCTCCTGTACGACAATTTTTATCTGATTTTAGGAAAACGCATAATTTTCCAGATCAGCGCCAAATGCCAGCTGTAGCACCTGGCGCCAACAGCCAGCTTTGGCGCTAGTTCAGTTTTACGTGCGCCAAAACTCTGTTTTGATATTTTATCTTTTTGGCTGATTTTCTCTATAAATAACGTATTAAAAACTCCGTTTTCATTCACCTACAACCAGTTTTCAATTCTCTCATTCTCTTTAATCATTCACCATCTTTCTTTCTCCCTTTTTCTACACTAGCTTTTAAATACAAAATTCCGCATTCATTAGATCTAGAAACACCTAGCCATATTCGAAGTTGCCTTCGCCCTAGACGTGAAAGGTTTAATTTATGAGGATTTGGTCCCAAATCTCTATTTCAATTATTTAATTTAATTGTTTTGTTTTATTTTCCTTGAAGTTACTAACGTGTGTATTTTGTTACTAGAAAGAGGTACGAGGCATCAAAGTAAGTACTTTAATTGTTTTATTGATGTTATGATGTAGAGTTCATGCTTAGATTGTTATTTATGATTCCTAGTATCATGTCTAGGGTAATTTTAATATCAAGTATGATTAAAAGTATGATGCCTTTTATGTTCTTCCTAATATTTATTTTTGTTAGTATCATGTTAGGGTTAAAGCTTTGATTTTTATTGCTTAGTGACATGGTAGGGTTTGTTATTAATCTTGTTAGTATCATGCCTAGGATCTTGCTATGCTTTAACATGATTATTATTATTAATATGATTGTTATTATAATGATTATTATTATGATTATACTTTATGATTTATGATTAATAATTGTTATAATTTGTGATGATTATAATTTATTTTTATTTTTATGATTATGATTATTATTATGTTGCTTGATAGTTATTGTTATTGCTTGATCACGCCTTTATGCATGTTTAAAGGGAATTGGTACTTGTAATCACGCTTAATAAGATATTAATAATCTTGTTTAGGGTTAATTATGATTATAATTTCGAGTGATCGCCAATAATAGATTTTTTTGTGCATTAAATTCAACCAACATAGATAAACAGGTTTAGAGTTAATCCTAATGATTGCATGTTAGTCAAAAAGCGCACATGAATACGATCAGAATAAAATAGAAGCATATTATTAGGGCAGGTTCAATCTCTTTTAGGTTGGATTTGTACCTTTATCCCCGAACCCTTATTTGGTTCAAGACCTTATGGAGTTGACGATCTCTTGGATCATTAAAGGGTGTAACCTTCACCCTGTGAACGGTTTACAAGTTCCTAAAACTTGTTGGCGACTCTTTTGCTCTATCTTCTTCCCTTTTGGACGCCACCGTACTTTAGTGTATGATCACAGTGGGGTTCAAGCTAGGGGATTAATGCTTGAAATTATTCCCTACAGTAAGAGATTTTTTTTTATCCATTTCTTTGCTGCTTTCAAGATGATGTCATTTTTTTTATTTAATTTTATAATTTTTTGGTTTTATTTTATTGCTATAAACTTTTGAAAGTTTTGATTTCTGTTATTATCCCTCTTTATTTATTTATTTTAATTATAAAGTTAAATTGATTTGAATATATAATTAATTTTGGTGTGATCATTTACTGTATTTGCATATATTGCTGAAGATTATATTGGGTTGGTTTCGGAATATTGTAGCTGTTCTTGCTATTGGTGTTTTGCAAGGAGACTGTATTGTTATTTTTACTGAAAATCGTTTGATGGAAAAAAGAATTCGATGATTTGAAGATGTCGAGATGATGAAATTTTAGGTTCAGGTTGTTTTAGAATTACTGAAAGTTTGATGGCAAAGGTAGATTTTTTATGTTTGAATTTGATGAACAAGACTAGAGAAGACAATTGGTTATGTATGAGGTTAAAATTTCTTTGAAAGCTAGGATTCGATGAGAATCGTATCACTTATGCTTCTTAAAACATATATTATGAGGTTGTGTTGATCAAATAGCGCAGATTAAAGCATATATTATGAGGTTGTGTTGATCAAATAGAGGAATGAATATGCTTTGTGCCCTATCTCTCATTCTCCTCCATTGAAGCGTACTTTAATTTCTCTGTTTAAATGGCTTGTGCCTTTGTAAGCTTTCTCTCCTCTATTGAAGGAGGTTTTGAGGTAAGATGTTTTTCTTAATTAGTGAATATAGATTAATAATCTAGGGTTAAACGTTGATTAATACCAATAATGAGGCAAGGAGAGGTCATGGGAGTTTCCCAAAGACCGTTTTGCCCCTCTCCTTAGATGACTATTGTTTACGGTGGTTATCTTTCGCAGGTGATTTATCCGGACACTGTTAAAACGGTCCTCAAACAATCTGTCTAGAACCTTAGCTGCTTTATCTGTCTCTGTGATCTGTGACTGTGCAACTCTGCTGAATGCCTGACTGTAGGCTTCTTGATCTTCTAACCACAAAATACACCAACCATTATGGGCTGTGATGAGTGTACACCATTCAAAGTAGTCAAATTTAATATGGAGAATTCTTTGAGGTTATGGGTGTTTTTTTTTCATTTGGCTTGGAAGAAATATCAATTGTTGGTTTATTTTATACGATGTATTATTTTTATTTTGTGGTTTGGTTCAGTTAGACTTTGGAAATTATTTGGCCCAATCTGATTGATGAGTCAAATCATGAAATTTGGCCGGAAAATATTTTTTAAGTCTGAACTAATAATTATATATTATACCCTAATTTTTTTTTATATATTTTTTATTTTTTTTAATAAATATTATGGGTTTAAAGATTTAAGTTACAAGGATGAAGGATTGAAATCATCAAAATATTGATCAAATGGTTCTCTTACAGCATCCCAAATTCGTTTGAATATGCAACAAGTAAATGCAAAATAATACTACGATTCTTGGTACGCAGAGTACATTGGAGTAAGGTATGCTAATGCTTGTGATTTTGTATTGGATGTTTCTCGTTTTTAGTAATGTTACTCATCCAAATATAATTCGCCTTTTTGTAGCCATTGAGGTTGAGATTATTATTGTAGCCATCCCAATATTAATGTCCATGTTGATTAATTATGTCTGTCAGACCCGAGATTGATGCTTGTTGGCAATTATAGGCCTCTATTCATATATCTTGCAGTATGTGACAGAGAAAAGTGATAGGTCATGATTATTTGTTTTGCTGAGACGTTTGATGTGACGTCATATTCCTCTCTCTCTCCTTTCCTTCCACCGGTTGATGTGACGTCAGTCCCTATATCTCAGGTGATCAGTCCTTTCTCCTGCGTACTTGATTTAACTGTTTGGATCAGAGGTTTGCGAAGGCATTGGGTGCTACATGATATTTCAAGACAACAATAAGATAAACGTTTAGACCTTGAGCAAATAAAACATCCCTTAGCTCATAAATTAGAGATGTTTTCTTTGTTCAGTTGATACTTCTTTATCTTCCATTATGTTAAAGAGCTGATTAGGTGTGAATAGAGGTCACTAATCCGTATATAGCTTTAGCATTTTAGTATTGACTCATTACCATAGCAATTAGGATTTGAATAATTAGGAATCCTTTACTTAATTCGTAGGAGAAGAGAGAGAGAGAGAGAGACTGAGAGAGTAAGAGGGGGGCTGGGTGAAAAAGGGCTAGGGGGAAAGAGATATATAAGGGTCGGAAGAGAAAATATATAGAGCAATAAAGAAAAAGCATGGCTAATAGAGAGAAAGAAAGAGATACAGTATAAAGAGAAAGATAGGTCGAAGGAAAAAGAAATAAAGGGAGGTTTGAAAAAAGAGGGAAAACTAATTAAGCTACTAATTGTGAGAAGAAAATAGAAATAAGTTTAATTGTTGGATTTTGGATTGGCAGAATTTTGTTTTGCAAATAGGAAGTGTGGCAGAATGTAATATATTTGAGTCTATGCTTTGGTCATTGTTATTATTGGTAAAACAAATATTAAGGTGCTCAAATAATTTAGTCAATTATGATATATTAGATTTGGAGATGAATGAATCTTTTATAGGTAGTTTTCTTATCATTCTAATTTAGATGATTTGTCATATCTGCTACATTAGATTTCTCTTTATTGTCATTGTTCTTATATTCATCAGAATCACTTAGAGAAGTCCATTCGTATTCGGTAAAGTGTTGCATCAAGATTTAAACTTCTCTTATGTCTGCTGTGTGTGAATTGGGGTCAGTAATCCGTATATAGATTTAGCATGTTAGTATTGACTCATTATCACAACAATTGGGATTTGAATAATTGGGAATCCTTTACGATTTGAATAATTGGGAATCCTTTACTTAATCCATAGGAGAAGAGAGAGAGAGGGGGGGGGGGGGGGGGAAGGGGCTGGGTGAAAAAGGGCTTGGGGGGAAAGAGAAATATATATATAGGAGTCGGAAGAGAAAATATATAGAGCAATAAAGAAAAAGCGTGGCTAATAGGGAGAAAGAAAGAGATATAGTGATAAAAAGAAAGATAGGTCGGAGGAAAAAGAAATAAAGGGAGGTTTGAAAAAGAAACAGGCAGTAAACACTCTCAAATCCTCTCTAAATGACGAAGGATGTTGCACAACATCACCCTAGCTTACCAAAAGGAGTAGCAAGTATAATTTCAACTCTAAGCCAGAACTTTCCTCCATTTGACTTAAATCTAATGGATTGTAAAGTAATACACTTCATTGAATTATACTGATTATCCAATGTATTCAAAATAGTTAATAAGAATATACAGTATGCTTGAAGATGTTTGAATCAACGAAAGAGATTCGAATATTTGAATCAGGAACAAGTGTTCACATTCCAATTGTTGCTCTAACAGCACACACAATTCGTAAGTAGCCAAATGTACAAGGTTGTCTTGAGATCAAGTGCTTGTCTGCTTGAAAAAATGTGTATAGGTGGATCCAAGTCTTCTATGTAAGAATCAAAAGGCTAAATTTTGTGTGTGGTGCTGATATAACCAGGCTTTGGGGTATAAAATAAAATTTTAAAAAAGAGAGAAAAAGAGGTAATACCTTACTAACTTTAGTGCTCTTATAATTATAAACTGGTTCACAAGTTCTAGAATCTAGAGCTTTTTTTTTTTACTTTAGCCGATAGCTTTTTATTTCTTTTTTATTTTGAATATTGTTAATGTGTGTAGATGCTGTTTTTCGAAACTTGCTTTCATTTTAGAATTTGGAAAAGCAATGTCTTACTTCTTTATGGAAATAAATAACGACAAATAATTTTGGATATCCAGTTGTAGTAAAAGCTAACATCATATCTTAATTGTTCAGTAACAACTTAGTGGTTGTTGAAATATGTCTTAAGCCATTTTTAAGGTAAACGATTAGAGTTTCTTAATGTATATTGTGGCTACTTAAAGATTAATTGCGTCTTTGTAATATTTCAGGTTTTTCTACACAGCTGCATTCTTCTACCGACTTAATTGAGCAACTACAAGATTTCAATGGTAGAAATTTGGTTATTTATTTATAGCCAATTTGAAAAATTGAGGAAATTTTGTAAGTAACATATGCCATCAGTAATCTAAATAACTTACATAAATTTTCAATTTTTCTTTAAATTTTCAATAAATTTTTATTTTTTAAAAACCTTATTATGTAAGTTATTAAAAATTAATCCTGTTTCTCATTCGTTGAACATTTAGATAAGATTCTTAATATTAGAAGATATTTTTTTTAAAAAAATATATATAAAAATTTTAAAGAAAAAATACATATATAGGCTATCAATCAGCTTTAAGTTTCAACTAACTACTCATGTTATAATTAACGAATATCCTTAGAGATAATTATTTACTTAGCATCGTCATCAACTGATTTATTAGCTTGCAATAAGTATCAAAAGCATTTTTTGAAGATATCTTGCAGTATGAAATAGTACAGTTTTGTATAGAATATGAATTTCAAAACTATGTCAATCTATGGTTCAAGGGTTTTAAGAAAAAGAAGATTCAAGGCAAGAGGGAGAAAGAGATGGATTTATTTGAAATAAGTGCTAAAAGGAGATATTAGGAGGAGAATAAGGGTTTGTTCACATTTACTGAATTTGGATGAGCTGAGTTGAGCTGAACTGAACTAATTGATTTATTTGAAATTAAATAAAAACTAAAAGGAGATATTGGGAGGAGATGGATTTATTTGAAATAAACTTATTGATTATCTCGTAGTCAACATGAATTATATATAAGAACTTTTAACAAAGACATCGTGCTTAATTGAGGGGAGGGGGAGTAGGTCTAGGAGAAAAGAAAGAAGAAATTGATCCCTTTATCTCTCCCAACTTCTGTCTATCATCATCTTTCTTTTGACCTCCTTCTCTTGCTTGTAACTTTCAAATTTTATTTTATATACTAATCTCAATAAGTATTTGTATTATATATAAAATACTTATCCTTAAATTAGGAGTCTAACCACACTTGTCTATGTTCATTTTAATTTGGAAAAGGGTTCGTATTATCACATTAAACTGATGCAAGCAACTTCCCTTTTACTAATACCCCAATCGCCTTGATCGCACCACCCAGTTTGTCAATCCTTCCATCTCTTTGATCACACCACCCAGCTTGCCAATCCTCCACTCAAACCTCCAATTTCCTTAATCACACCACCCGTTTTGCCAATCCTCCAATCACCTTGATCGCTCCACCCAGTCCAATCACCTTGATTGCACCACCCAATTTGCCAATCTTCCAATCGCCCTAATCGCAGCACCCAGTTTGCTTATCCTCTAATCTCCTTTATCGCATCACCAAGTTTTCCAATCCTCCAATCACAACACCCAATTCACCAATCCTTTAATCACCCACTCACAGGCTCACATCGATGTAATTTGTACTTTTAAATTATTTTAATCAACATACCCATATATTACATTAATTCCTTAGCAGCACAATCTATTCTATCATATTTCAACTTTGATCAACGCCAACATCTATACCTAACTTCGTTACAAATAAAATGTTATAAATAATCTGCACATCATATATCATCGCATAATTACACATTAATCACCAAGGATAGATCACCAAATTGGGAGACCGCGCGACTCCAGTTTTAGTTCAAGCTTTAGTTATGTGCAATTTAGGTGATGAGGATCAAGCCTGATGATTACAGAAAGAAAGGAATACTCGAGGATGTTCACCAAAAAAACAAGATTGTATTCAAGAAAATATTAGGGAAAAGCTGTAATGATTTGATTAGTTGATGATAAAAGCCATTATAATACTGAAACTATATTAATAACTCATTTCTTACAATCTTTCTGTTATAACAAAATGCTAAATATTTCTACAATCATTCCCCTTATAAGTATGCTCATATGCCTTCTGCCGCTGCCCACTCTAACCTCTATGTTTGCATCATTATGTACTATAACTAAAGTAATCATTAGAAAAATTAAATTACATTAACACATAAACTATGACTAATTACACACTAATCACGAAAATGAAATCACATTGGGGGACCGCTCGCGTAGCGCGCGGGCCAACAACTAGTAAAGAGAAAAACTAAGGAAAAGGAAAGGAAAAGAACTATAAAAGCAATTTAAAATCATCCTAAAAGATAACAAATGAGTGCCATAAATGACACTCATCAAATTCCCCCAAGCTAAACTTTTGCTCGTCCTCGAGCAAAAACCAAGCAAGCAAGAAAAAGGATGAAAGACTTATTCAAAAATGAAAAAGGAAGACATGATATGAGAATATACATTAAGACTCACTTTCGTAGGAATCACGGCTATTTTAAGCTACAATAAGCCCTTTAAACCCTAGATCGCTCTAGAGGACGAGTAATGGTCTCGTAAGGGTTTCCTAAGAGGTTTACCTATAAGGCCATAACTCTTTGAAGTTAAATGAGGCAAAATCATTAAAAGAAAAGAAGGTAAATCAAAATTCAAACAAATAGCTCTTAACAAGGACTTTTGTAAACGATCAAATGCAAGTGAATGAACACTTTTGTATATGATAGGGGTATGCATGCTCCAAGATATCTACGGTTGATTGAAACACAAGGTATGCTAAGCGTAGAGAACTAATGAGGCGCAATCCACTTTCATCCCAACCAATCTAACCACGTTCTCCCAATGGCTTCAAATATTCCCTTAGTAACCATCTCTATGGTTCCTCGAAGAAACCGGAAAATAATAAAGTTTGAGGGTTCCCGAAATCTTGACTTTACATCCCCTCTCCTTAGGCTTTAACTCATAATACCCTCCCTCGGTATATGACTCAACCACTAGGTCAAATGGGCTTTCCCAAAAGTTGTAACGTAAGGGAAAAATGTTGGGGGTAGTCCTAAAACTTAGAATTTGGTGGTACACCTAAGTTTTGAAGCAAAGATTGGCCAAATCTCAACACCAAAACCAAGTAGTCATCAAACAAAAACAAATTAACACCCCCAAGCTTATTCAAAGCTATAACCACAATCATATATATACAAAAAGCGTAAGACGCTTCCCCCCAAGCTAGAAAATAACATTGTCCTCAATGCTTAAAATAGGGAGAAACATTTACATCAAAATATTTTTGAACTATTTCATTAATCTATTTTTTTATTTGCTAAAGCTTTTTGAATTTGCTTTGCTTTTTTCACTTTTTCAATTTTTTCATTTTTTCACTTTATTCATTGTCCTCACCTCTTTTAACTATGGACTGCTTTTTCAACTTTGCATTTGAATGTACTTGCCTTTGTTAACTTTGGACGGCCTTTTCATTTATTCACTTGCCATTATTCACAAAATATACAATTCACAAGCTTGCTTACAAATAAGAACCAATATCCAAACTCGTATACCATAATCTCCAAAAACATGATCATTTGCTTCACAAAAACCAAAAATGGAACAAAAAGAAACAAAAGGCTCAAAGTTCTAAAGATGTGGCTAGAAAAGAAGGGAAAGACTCAAATGGTTAGCAAGAAGGCAAGTGGATAGCAAGAAGGTAAATGGAAACACAAGGACTAAAAAGAAAGAAGATTATCCTAGAAAAGAAAAATAAGCACCCCGAAAAGATGCTTTTATCCTCCCTAGATGGTTCGGTCTCGTGTTTGAGAATTATGAGTCAAGATTCAAGAGTAAGTTTGCAATAGTCAAGGATCCATGCCGCTCAATCAAAAAATGAAGAAGGCATGAAAAAGAATGAAACTTCACACGGTTTTAGCAAAAACTTACTAAAGTCGTCAAATTCACCTAACGAAGCAACTCCGTCTTACCACGAACCAAAAGAATCCGGCTTCAAGGCCCCAAAAGGTCTAAACCGCTACCTTATCATACCTTATCCTAGAGTCAACCATGTATACTCTCAAAGCATGCTCACCGATAAAACATAGGAAAGCACACATTCAAAGGCAAAATCTCGAATGGTAGTATGCCCAAATACATGAGCTAAACAAGCAAAAAGAAAATATAGCCTCAAAATCCTTTTGTTTGTTATTGTTCATCAATGCAAGAAAAGGAAACAAAAGAAAAGAAAAAAAAGAAGAGAAAAGCACAAGAATGTAAGCAAAATAAGTAAAACCCAATCGTCAAACAAGCGGTCATTCGACAACATCGCCAATGACCCAAAACACGCTATGTGTTACAAGGCAAACATCCTTGAGCAATCTGCTCATCCTAAACTAAACCTATTCTATAAAATCAAGAAAGAAAAAGAAAGAAAAGAAATAGAAGGATCTCACCGGGTACTCCAAGCAATGCTAATGAATATAAATGAAAGGAAGCGCAAACCTTCATGATGCTCCAAAAGCAAAAGCAAGGATAACATACCAAGAGAGAAATAGAAATCTATATACAAAAAGAAAATGATAGTAACTTCCAAACAAAAATACACAACATCAAAATGTGGTGTAGACGTCGCTCGAAGTGCGCCTACGTTAAAAGCATGTGTGAATATGCTTGGCACTCATAGGAAGTGGGAATTGACATATACGATTAGGGACAAGGAAAGTAGGGAGCCGCCAACAAGTTTTTAAGGAACTTGTAAACCGTTCACGGATCATTATAAGGCAACCACAAAAAGGGACAACGATAGGCAACAACGATTGACCCGTGAAGGTTACACCCCATTCATAATCCATGATATTACTAACTCCATATGGTTCGGAACCACGAAAGGAGGATCGGAGATGATGGTACGAAGTGAGTCATGGAGTAACATTCGCCCGTATTGGCCTCTACTCGATTCTTATAGTGAAAAGTGATTCCTGCGATCTCAAAGGCATGCAAACAAAGATTCAATTTGCTCCAAAATATTATTATACTAAATTGGTTTAATATTAATGAAACACATTATTCTAAAATATTGTGATCACTTGATTTAACAACAAGATTAAAAAGGATCCTAAACCGGTTGTCCAAATTATCTTATTAGGCGTGATTTTCAATTACATATTCCCTTTAAACATGCAATATGGTGATCATAATAATAGAAGAATAAACATTAATATTGGAAGCAATTTAACAATAATAGTGTTAGTCAAATCAAATAATAATAAACCCAATCATGATATTAGCAATATTAAAATAAAAATAAGT